TTACGAATTTTTCAGGTACTCTATTCCTGAGCTTGGAAAAATACTCCAAACTTTCGCCTAGGATAGGCCAACCTTTTCTTCCAGGAGGGAGTAGAAAATTCTCATTTGAGATGCTTCCAGTGGCTGATCTTCGGGGATAATTGAGAGAGAGATAGAAGACAAAGATAATAACATAGGGGAGCATGTACAAGAACAAGGAAATTTCCATTAGCCTATCTATGAGTTGATGGTTATGTTGACAAGATTGAATTTTTAGTATTCGAAAGATCTGCAACGAGCAATTGGTGTGTAGTTTGTACTGGATTCAGGAAAGAGGGTTCTCAATACAAGAACACTTGAAATTAAATAATAATAACAAAAAAAATGTGTCAAGTTGAACTACTCCATTCCTATGCTCGCTTTAATAGAGAATTCATTAGTATGAACAGAACAGAGCTATGGTGTTTTTCTTGACATGAACAAACAAATTGAACAGAGCTATTGTGGTTGACTTTAGGGTGATTAACAGAAAAAGACACAAATCCAATGAATGAATCAAGATTGATCAACTGATATTCTCATTTGAAAGTGAAATATGATCAATGAAAGAGGGAATTAAAATTTCCAGTGGTAGTAAAAAAAGGCAGAACGCCGTTGCTGGGGGATCGAACCCGGGAAACAGAGGGAAATATTCACCACTATACTACAACGACTTGATACCCTATTTTTTGGGGATAAATTACACAAAGCTCTATTGAGAGAAAATATATTGGTAGAATTTATCTAAACTATTTCTAATTTTTTTTAAAATTTTTTATTTAGAAGTCTGTGCCAAACTATTTGATATAACTTCTATTTACAACAAGGACGAATTATGAAATAACTCCATATGTTATGAACAATTTTCATATTGTATATAGAAGTATTCCTAATTTTTAAAAAAATTCTTCCATTATAATGCATATAGGATAATCACAAATTATTTAATATAATAATATTAATTTCATTATAAAGATATAATTTTTATTTATATCAATTAATGAAATGCTTAAAACGCCTAAGATTACAATTATATAGCTAAATCAAAAATTGTATGAAATAATTGGAGTAAGTATTAAAAAAATGACTGATATAAATTTATTAATTTTTCTCATTTCTAAATTTTCCCCCTCAAAGTTTGTGTTAAAATTTCCCTTTCACTAAATGATTTTTTTTTTTTTTTACTACTTATTTCGGCCTCCTTAAAATAAATGTATGACTTCGTCTTGATTTATAACTTATTAAATAAAATAAAATATAATTATTTAAAAGTTGGGGTTTTGTTCTCTAAAATATAATTATTTAAAAGTTGGGGATGTGTTCTCTCCAAGTTGAACAATTGCCCACCTAATCAATTATTTATTTTTTTACTCTCATGATTTAAGCTAAAGAGGCAGGAGTTTATTTATTTTTTCACTCTCATGAATAGAGGCAGAGTGTGAAAAAAAAAGGATAAATTCTCTGATACTTGCTTAAAATATAAATTGTTTTTTGTAATTTAGAAAATTATAAATATTTTGTTATCAAAATTTCGTATTTAACATAATTAACTAAAAAAACGAAATTTATAACTGCTCTCTTATACAATAATAAAATTACTTGAATTATTAGTTTAAATATATTTATAATATTATTAGAAATTATTGATTGATTTAATGATTTATTAATAAAATGAGCGATTTGTTATGAAACTAAAAATTTCAGAGATGGAATGTAATTTCTAAAAATACAGGAGTGATTTGTATTTTAACAAAATTCAGAAAATGTATTTGTAATTTATTTAAAGAATAAATAAATAAATAATGAGCTTAAAGAGACGGGAGTCTAAAAATTTTAAAAAACAAAAAAAATAAGAACGCCGTTGCCGGGGATCGAACCCGGGTCACCCGCGTGACAGGCGGGAATACTCACCACTATACTACAACGACTTGAAATAAATAAATAATTATTTAAAGAATAAATAAATAAATAATGAGCTTAAAGAGACGGGAGTCTAAAAATTTTAAAAAACAATAAAAATAAGAACGCCGTTGCCGGGGATCGAACCCGGGTCACCCGCGTGACAGGCGGGAATACTCACCACTATACTACAACGACTTGATTATTGAACGGAATCGGAATAAAAAATAATTAAACACTAATAAAAAATTTCTTTATAAGGTTTTCCTCTCTTTTTTAACTTTTCCAATATTATTAAGTTTTATTTGATAGTTGGTACCAGAAATAAGTAGCAAGGCTTTAGTTTGTTAAAAAATATGTAACTCTTTTAATAAATTCATTTCTAGTCAAAACAGTTATTTTAACCATTTACAAAAATATATTTGGAAAATTCTAAGTAAATTAATCTTTTGACATTAAATTTCCTATAAAATTATTTTTAGTCAAATAAATTAATTTTCATGCTAATTTTTAAAAGAAGTTTAACTACGTTTTAGCATAAGTTGCTTTGCATTTTAAAAAAAAAATATTTACGAGTAGTTTGTTTTATAGTGCTAAATTTACATTGTTTATAAAAAGAAAATGCTAGAGATTCACAATTTTAAACCTATAATTATTTGACATTTTTTCAAGCATAACCAACATAATTTGCTACGTCGTCATTACTCTCACCACCTCCTTCGACGGGGTGGCAAAAAGCAAAATGAAGAAACATAAGGAAGATGATAATAAATTTATCACTGATAATATTTATCAATGTTTTCCAGATCACTTAATTAATTACTACCTCTCAGTCTTATACTCACACTTACACACATAGACTCTTGCTTATTCATTCACATAAACACACCGACACACTTAAAAAAAAAAAAAAAAAAAAAAAAAAATTAATAAATTTATCACTATAAATTTATTTACTAATATCTCAATTTTACAAATAACAGATCTGGTTTAACCATATATTTACAAATAGATTGATGTAGATTCATCAATCTGTACACACACATACATATATATACATATAGATCACATACATATATATACATATAGATCTCAGTAGTAAGAACTTAAATGACCATGTCAGGGTCAAATCGACATCCCAAAATGGTCAATCAAAAGTTACTTGTGAAGATTTGAGTTAAAAATAATTAGATTTGAAGCCCCGTTTGTTTTGGGTGTAATGGATGAGAGGAGATTATGATAAAGATAAGATTATTTAGTGTTGTGTTTATTTGTAAAGTTGAGAAGAGATTAGGATGAAAGAAGGGGTTAAGATAGAGGTTGGAAGGGTGATTGTGATGGAGGAGGTGGATGTGGTATTAGAAAAATAGTGAAGAGATTATAAATTTTTTTTATTTTTTTACATATTGGAAATTTTTTTTAAACATTAATGTTTAATTTTTTTATATATTTTTATTTTTTTATTATTTTATATAAAAATAATTTAACAATTCCTATATTAATAACTATCATCAAAACAAATATAATTTTACTTAATCCCCTCACTATCACTCCCCTCCATTCTATCTCTGAAAACAAATGGGACCTGAAAAGTCACTAGTAATAACAACAAAACAAGAAGATGATGGTGAGAAATGTGTGGCATTGACGGGAGAGTGGTGGTGTGTATATCGGCGACAATAGAGTATGAAACAACACTAGTAGAGGTGATTGGTGAATGACGGTAATAGCCAAACGATGATGGTAGTGGTGGTAAATGGACAATGTGGCAACGGTGATAGTGTGGCAAAGGCGGCAGTAGATGGTGGTGGTGTAATGATGGTTGTAATAAATAGTGGTGGTGTAAAGCTCTTTAGAAAAATAGTAGAGAGAGAAGAAAAGAGGATGAAAAGTTTTCTGAAAAATAAGAGAAAGAAATAAAAAATAATAAAAAAGAGAAATTTAATGAAAGCAATATAAGTATTATAGAATTTATCAGTATATTTAAAAGATAAATAAAACATGTAAGTATTGATCCATTTAAGAGGATTAGTTGATAATTAACCCTTAATATAATTAGTAAATTGTTTCTTTATTATTGTTTGCACAATGTTAAAGACCTACATTTGAGACATTTAAATATAACACAACAATATGACACAAAAATTGAGCCTCACATAATTAAGTATGTAAGAAATCAAAAATTGGATGCCTATAAAATTTTATTAAGAATGTCAACCATTTAATGTTTCGGTGCTACTAGGGAGGTAAGTAAATTGAGAAAACCGACTAAATCAATTGTATCAGATCAAACCTATTATATTTGGTTTATTTTTTTAATAAGAATCGATCTGGACAATTTTCAAATTTGATTTTTTTCGATTTTTGATTTCATATCGGTGCAAGTACTTTGTGCACCAAACTAAACTAAAACCGACCGCTTCAATATATAATGATATTAATAAGTATAATAAATTATTAACTTTAATTAATTAATCTTATTATCTTTATAATCTAAGTTTGTAAACTCTTGTTATATATATAATATTAATTCTAACTTATTATTCTTGAAATTTTAGTATTTTTTAACTTTTTTTTTGTTTTTTTTTGTTAATCTAGGAATTGAAAAATATTTATTAAATGGATAGATTGAATATATTTAAATGATAGACAAATAACTAATTTAATGTTTTTATATAGATTAATGATTATATTTAAAAGTGGCTCAAATTAAAAAAGTTATAGACCTAATCGCATAATTTCAATCGGTTTGGTTTGGTGAGATTTGATGGGAGACGAGGTTTGTATTGGTATTTAAAATAATAAAATTGACATTATCAGTTAGATAAAATTTTTTATCTAAATACTGATCGTACTGAACCGATTATATTCCTAAATGCTACACATCAATTACTATATTAATTAGTATATCAATACATACTATAACATTACAATTTTAAAATTATAAATTTCATCCATTATATAAATTATAAAAATTTAAAACTAATAAAATTATATCACATAATGGATACGGATATTTTGGTTGGAGATTTCTTGTGGGATCAGACAACCTCTTTATTTAAACCAGTCTTACGTAATCCATATTACAATTTCCTCGGTCTTTCCTTTCTCTTTTACTTTCAATACCAATTTTGACTCCCTCAAGCGTTTGCAAAGCACTCGCTTCATCATCAAAACCACACTACTCTTCCCCTTCCAAGCTAGGGTTCGAAACTAGGGTTTTTCATTCTTCCTCTGTAGATCTCCAACAATGGGATCCCTATTCAGCAAGAAAACTGGGGGAAGCAGTAACGGAAGCTCCCAATCGAACCCCAATTCAAACCACTTCACTCCCGATCTCATCACCTCCTACGAAGCAGCTTGTGAGCTCGATCCAGACCTCCAATCCTTCGATTCGAGCCTCCAAGAGCGCACCAGCAGAGTCATCTCCACCCTCGCCGTCGGCGTCGAGGTCCGATCACTCTCCCTCGACTCCCTCCGCGAAGTCACCGGCTGTTTGCTCGAGATGAACCAGGAAGTCGTCAAAGTCATCCTCGATTGCAAGCAAGACATTTGGAACAACCAAGAGCTCTTCGATCTTGTTAAACAGTATTTTGAGAACAGTCTATTGACTCTGGATTTCTGTACTGCTCTCGAGAAATGCCTCAAGCGAGTTCGAGAGAGGCAAGTCATCGTTCAAGTTGCGTTGCAGCAATTCGAGCTCGAACAACAACAGAGGGAAGGAATCAATAATAATAATGACGACTGTTTCTCCAAAACATTGCAGGAATTGAAGAACTTCAAGGCGGCCGGGGACCCTTTTACAGAGGAGTTCTTCTCTCTGTTTCAGTCTGTTTACAGGAATCAAATTTCGATGTTACAGAAGCTGCAATTGAAGAAGAAGAAGCTCGATAAGAAATTAAAGTCCTTGAAGTCGTGGAGGAAGGTTTCGAGCGTTATATTGGCAGTTGCATTCGCGGCTGTTTTGATTTGCTCGGTCGTGGCGGCGGCAGTTGCAGCGCCCCCGGTTGTGACGGCTTTGGCAGCTGCGGCGGCAGTTCCGCTAGGAACGATGGGTAAATGGTTTGATTCTCTTTGGAATAAGTATGAGAATGAAGTGAAAGGAGAGAGGGAGATCATTAGTTCAATGCAAATTGGGACTTATATTGCGATTAAAGACTTCGATAGCATTCGGGTTCTTGTGGGTAGATTGGAAATTGAAATGGAATCTCTGTTGCAGAATGCTGATTTTGCTCTTCAAGAAGAGGAAGCAGTGGTTTTGGCAATTGATGAGATCAAGAAGAAACTGAGTGGGTTTATGCAAACCATTGATGATTTGGGTGAGCATGCTGATAAGTTCAGCCGCGACATTAGGCGGGCGAGGACAGTGATTTTGCAAAGGATTATCAAATATCCCACCAACAATTGATATACAACTTTGTTTGTGATTTGTTGTACAATTTGAGCACATTGTGTGGCCATTTTACCTCAACCAGAACCCTTTGTGCGGATAAATTTATCATAAAAAAGAGAGATTTTTACTGTAACAGGCCATTGTAGAGTTGATATTTGTCTTTAATTAAAATGGGATTTTCTTGGTAGCTTCAATAGATTTCACTTAGTTCGTATATTAAGATCACTGACATTGAAAGCTTTCTATCATTCTATGTAACTAGTTGGTTGTTTGAAGAATGGAAAACATGTGGTTACGCATATGCTATTGAAGTACAGCAAAGAATAATGTAAGCAGTATAATATATTTTTGGTTACTTCAAGTTTGAGATTATACTAAGTAGACAAGCTTGATAGAAGGTGAGCTAGTGCCGATAGTCAATTTTGTGTTTTATTCATGAAAGAATTGTGAAGTGCCATGGTCATACACATTTATTTTGATCTTCAATATTGGTACCTAGATGCTATATTCAGAAAAGTTTAGTGATGCTGATGATGACTACTTTGCTTTTAGGAAAACAGAAGTCATTTCTTGTTTAAAACATTGGAAGACATACATACCATGCACTAAATTAAGATTACATGTGATTAAGGTGTCTTAGTTGCGAGAGATGTTTAGGCCCGTAAGAGGTCCACAGATTCAGACTTGAAAAAGAAGAAGTTTATGCAATGAACCAAGTAAAATTTTATGTATTATGGGAGGGTTTGGTGTTATTGTTACAATGCACTTTACCAAAGTAAATTGCAATATATTGGCATATTGCATTGGGTGGCATTCCAAGTGGCATTAGATTTAACTTAAGATACGATTTGTAGCTGCAACTATATAATTCATGATCAATGCGTTCAATGTTCTCAATGATTTCGATTCAAAGAAGTTAAAATTTCATTGCAATGGGAACTAAGAAATGAGGGAAAGACAATAAACGGGGCTGAGATTTTGAAACTTGAAAGAAGGGTCAATGGAATAAGTAATCATGGACTGTGAAAATAAATTTGGAAACATTGGAGCTGCTGCAAATAGGGAGGATTGTATTTATGCTTTATCCTGATGATGTTTTGACAGTCTTACATAAATGAATTTTAGATGGAGAAGAGAAGACCTAAGCAGATAAGTTCCTCCTTTTTATTTTGTTTGGTGCCTCCATTTCAAGCTAACATACAAAAGCATTGTACTGTTAAGCTGCCAAAGCCTTGACAAAATGAAATCACTTCATCAAGCCCTTTTGTGCGATGGTATTGTACTACAGATAGCGGTTCTGGAGCTTGCAATTTCTGCAATTAGTGACTGAGAAATGGGCGTTGGATAATTACCCAAGAAGTCTAGTTATAACTAAATTGACTTTTCTTTATCATTTTTCTTTATATTTTTTATTCTGTGGTAAATAAATATGGCCTTTACCCTAAAGGGGTGAACCTAAACGTTAAGTCAGTGAAATTATAGGCAACAACTAGGGGCTGTGACTTGCGAAAAACAAAAAACTTTGTAGAGGTTGAGAGAACTGAAAGTCTGAAATCTATTTTTCTTCGAAAAGCTTCTTTTATTTTTTTATTCATATCAGGGACTTTCAATGAATGCTATCTATTATGTGTGATAATAGAATAATGTTTTGTAGATAATAGCACAATACACATTTTGAGGACATATTGGCAATGGAATCCATTCCAGAAGTTTGATTAGGATCAAGTCAAGCACTTTTAGGATAGGATTAAGCAATGACAACAGCGACTACGAGCGCCCCCTGACAAAACAGAATGTAATATTAATGATCAAGAAAATTACTACTTATTTGCTTCAAGAGATCACCCTTGAGAATTATCTCCATGAAGTCAATTAGATGACATGAATCTGTATTGGTTGCCCATATAATGATGAAGAAAACAAATAGAATGTTCAGATTGCATTACATGGAAAAAGAGAGCATCCCATTTTGAACTTCAAATTTCAAGGTTTTTTTTTTTAAGGCAAAAGAAGTTTCTAAAATAATTGAAGACAGAAGTTTAAAAAGAGATTAAGAAAGACAGATTGAGTTATGATCGTTGTTGTCAAATTAATAAAAAGATCTAACTAGTGTGGTTAGATTATTCGACGACAACTTTAAAAAAATTTCATATGTAACAATTTGATTACTTGCAGTGTTTGAAATGTAAACACAGTTAATTGCCTTTGATAATAGTAATGCACATGGGATTTGTAGTGACACCATTACTATTGAACAATTTTTTTTTTTTTTTGGCCCTCCATATAATAATTCACATAAAAACATTATGTACCATGAAGTCAATTAGATGACATGAATCTGTATTGGTTGCCCATATAATGATGAAGAAAACAAATAGAATGTTCAGATTGCATTACATGGAAAAAGAGAGCATATAAACAGTGTGGATGATATATATATATATATATATATAATTTTAAAAAATAAGAATAATATGAATAAATCGCAAAATATCATTAGTCACATACACAATTATGTGATATTTTAAACTCATGTGATAATTTCTAATTGTGATGAGAGTTTGATTGTATTTGTAATAATCTTTTTATCCTTAATGTATTATGTTTCTTCTTGTTGGCAAAAAATAAAATAAAAAATCATTCACGTAAACAAACATGTTTGCTCAAATAATGAAAATGGAAAGGATCTTGCTAAATGAATTAAAAAAATAATATATTTACATAATTTTTATATAGAAACAAGAATATTTTAAAAATGATATTTTTAAAAATATAAGTCATCAAATCAAAACTTGTATATTATTCTGTAATAATTTTTATTTATATATCCATAATTTATTCAAAAAATTATGAAATATATTTAGGATTTGATTTTTAAACAAATCAAATTTCAAGTTTTAAATTTTAAATACTCATACTTAAAAAGATCAAAACTAATAGAAATTTAAAAAAGAAAAAATTATTAGGTAGAGTATACATTACAATATAAAAGAAATAACAATATAATTATTTAATCTATATAATGCTAAAAACTATGGCATTTACACACAAGTCATAATTTATCAACTTATACTCCTTTAAATTTTAACTAAGATTTTTTAAGCTTTCAAATCTCATTAAATTTTTAATAGTCAAAATTATCCTTCAAATAATAATTATTCATCATTTATGATTATCATTATAAGAATATGATGATTTGACATTTATTTTGATTTTTAAATTTTAAAATATCAACTTTCAAATTGAAAAAACTTTTAAAAAAAATTATACGAAAAAAAAACTAAATATTGTTTTTTTTTTGAAAAAATTGAATTATTTTTTTTGTGCAAAACTGAAAATTTTGTGTCGATAAAAGAGCATGATGATGGAACATTAATGTGCAAAACTGAAAAAAAAAATGAAAAAACTGATAATGTTTTCAATTTTATTGAATAGTTGAATCATACCAATAAGTAAAAAGGCAAAAACGTTTAATCTCATACTCTATTTTTTTCATTAGTTAGTGAAATAATTATTTGAAACATGACTATGTAAAATTAATAATGTTTTTAATTTTAAAAATTGAGAAAAACTGATGATATTCTCAATTTTACTAAATATGACTTACTGATTCAAAAAATATTAGATACTATATGAGACACCATAATATTTGTAAATAAGACTTTTAGGTAATTAACTCCAAAAAATAAGTTAAATATTTTATAAATTAAAATATTAAAAATATATAATATTATTATGTCAAACTTATAAAATTTACTGTATTTTTTTCAAAATTTAACAAAAATCATTATAATTTATCTAAAAATAAAATAAAAAAGATAAATTACAAATATATCTCTTAAAATTTGTTTAAAATACTAATTTTCCCTTATAATTTTAAAAGTTATAAATACTCTCTTATTCAAAAAATTTCTTTAATAGAATTAAAAAAATAAAATATCTAACTACTATCTTACACAACAATAAAATTATTTAAATTATTAATTAAAATATATTTATAACATCATTAAAAAATTTGATAATTTATTAATAAAATAAACAATTTGTTATGTGATTATAAAATTTAAGGATTATATTATAATTTAGGAGAATTTTTTTTTAAAGTCCATGATATTATGATTTTATAAGATAAAAGACATATAATATTTTTATAATAGTTAAAGTTTCTCAACATTTCTACAGAAAAAATTTGACTCAGAGAAATTTTACCCGACTCAAAGTAATTTCGCCCCGACTCAAAGAAATTTCTCTGGTTTCACAAAGAAATTTTGAAATTTTTGTGAGTCGGGAAAAATTTCTCTAAATTAAATTTTCTTTATGAAAATATTGAGAAACCTTAATTAATAAAAAAAAATATTTTAAACTTCTCCTACTACATAAAGTTAAAAAAAAAATATTTCAATAATTTTTTTTCTATAATTTATGAAGGAAAAATTATTGATAAATCCTATTTAGAAGTGTTTTAACCCAAGAAGTTCATGAAGGAATTTTTTAGCTCATTTAGTCCTATGTATGTATAGTTTTATTCTATAAAATCATTTTTCTTGATTTACACTATTTTCTTGGACATTTATTCCCTTATATTTAATTTTGATACGCTTATAAATATTTTTTGAACGGTTAGCAATTTTATGATGTGAACATTCATATTTTAAAATTCACATTGGTAGGAATGTAAAATTGGCCTGTGGGCGGCCCGAAACCCGCGCAGCGAGCCGGGGCTGGCCGGGCCCGTTGACAATGTGAATATTCACATTGACATGTTAACATTCACATTAATAGGAGTGTAAAATTGGCCCACGTCCCGTGGCGGCGCGAAACTCGCCCGCGGCCCATGGGCGGCCTGGGGCGAGCCCGGTCCGGCCCGTTGACAATGTGAATATTTACATTGACATGTTAACATTCACATTGATAAGAGAATAAAATTGGCCCGTGGCGCATGGGCAGCCAAAAGCCCGCTCGCTGCCCGGGGCGAGCCCAGCCCGGCCTATTGACAATGTGAATATTTACATTGACATGTTATCATTCACATTGATAGGAGTGTAAAATTAGTCCGCGCCTCGTGGTTGCCCAAAACCGGCCCACGGCCCATGGGCGGCCCGGGACGGGCCCGGCCCGGCCTGTTGACAATATTCATATTGACATGTTAACATTCACATTGATAGGAATATAAAATTGGCCAGCGGCCCAGGGCTGGCCCGACCCCGCCCGTTGACAATGTGAATATTCACATTGACATGTTAACATTCACATTGATAGGAGTATAAAATTGGCCAGCGGCCCAGGGCGGGCCCGACCCGGCCCGTTGACAATGTGAATATTCACAGTGACATGTTAACATTGACATTGATAAGTGTGTAAAATTAGCCTACGCCTCGTGGCTGCCCGAAACCCACCTACGGCCCATGGGCGGCCCGGGGCGGGCCCGGCCCGGCTTGTTGACAATGTGAATATTCACATTGACATGTTAACATTCACATTGATAAAAGTATAAAATTAGCCCGCGGCCCATGGGCGGCCAAAAGCCCGTCCGCCCGTCGCCCAGAGGGGGCCCGGCCCGTTGACAATGTGAATATTCACATTGACATGTTAACATTCACATTGATAGGAGTGTAAAATTAGTCTGCGCCTCGTGGCTGCCCGAAACCCGCCCACGGCCCATGGGTGGCCTAGGGCGGGCCCGACCCGGCCTGTTGACAATGTGAATATTCACATTGACATGTTAACATTCACATTGATAAGAGTATAAAATTGGCCAGCGGCTTAGGGCGGGAACGACCCGGCCCATTGACAATGTGAATATTCACATTGACATATTAACATTCACATTGATAAGAGGATAAAATTGGCGCGCAACCCGTGGCGCGACCCGAAGCCCAACTACAGCCCTAAGCGGGCTTGGGCCGACCTGTGACAATGTGAATATTCACATTGACATGTTAACATTAACATTGATAAGAGTGTAAAATTTGCCCGCTGCCCGAAGCTTGCCCGCGGCCCGGGGTAGGCCCGGCTCGGCCCGTTGACAATGTGAATATTCACATTGACATGTTGAAATGCACATTGATAGGAATGTAGGATTGCCCCGCGGCCCGTGGGCTGCCCGAAGCCCGTCCACTGCCCCGAGCAGGCTCGTTTCGGTCCGGGCCCGAGCATGTCCAAGACCCTAAGTTAGGGCCTAGGTTATCACTTTGAAGCCTGGCCCCGGCCTATCGGCCCGCTTAAGGCCCATTCAAGGCTCGGTCCAAGGCCTAGCACACCTGAGGCACAATGTATTTCTTTGTGAAAAATAATAAAATTTTGGTAGAAAAAATTAAAAAGAATTAAAAAAAAAATGGCTAGGCCCGCCCAAGCTCGACCTAAGCTCGAGGCTAGGCCCAAGCCCACCGGCCTGACCCGAGGCTCGATCCATTGGCCCATCCAAGCCCGAATATCCTTGTGCCAAGGCTAGGGCCTGGGCCTAATTTTTTGGCTCGTAGGCCGGTCCGACCCGGCCCAGGAAAGGCTCATTTGGGCCCAAGCTCGAGCCTAGTCCGAGACCCTAGGCTAGGGCCTGGGCTATCACTTTGAAGCCTGGCCCAGCCCATCGGCCCCGTTAAGGCCCATTCAAGACTCGGTCTGAGCCCCGGCTCGCGCCGAGGTCTAATGTCTTTTTTTGTGAAAAATAATAAAATTTTGGTAGAAAAAATTAAAAAGAATTAAAAAAAAATGGTCAGGCCCGTGGGCGGGTTTCGAGCAGCCACGAGGCACAGGCTAATTTTACACTTCTATCAATGTGAATATTAACATGTCAATGTGAATATTCACATTGTCAACGGGTCGGGCCGGGCCCGCCCTAGGCCGCTGGCCAATTTTATACTCTTATCAATGTGATGTTAACATGTCAATGTGAATATTCACATTGTCAACAGGCCGAGCCGGGCTCGCCCTGGGCTGGTTTCTAGCAGCTACGAGGCGCGAACTAATTTTACACTCCTATCAATGTGAATGTTAACATGTCAATGTGAATATTCACATTGTCAACGGGCCAGGCTGGGCCGGGCCCGCCTCGGACCGTGGGCGGGCTTTTGGCCGCCCATGAGCCGCGAGCCAATTTTATACTTTTATCAATGTGAATGTTAACATGTCAATGTGAATATTCACATTGTCAACGGGCCGGATCGGGCCTGCCTCGGGCCGCCCATGGGCCGCTGGAGAGTTTCGCGCCGCCATAGGACGCGGGCCAATTTTACACTCCTATTAATGTGGATATTAACATGTCAATGTGAATATTCACATTGTCAATGGGCTAGGCCCGCCCAAGCCCGACTAGAATTTTTTCGGACACCCACGAGGATTGACATGGACCGGGCCCCTACACATTGACGATATGAACATTCACATTGACATGTGAATATTCACATTAGGAGTATTTTGATAATTATATCACCCATAGGACTTATTGAAACATAAGAAAATAATGTGAACTAAATGGAACATAAGTAGATGAAAATAGTATTTTGCTATTCTTATCTTAAATAAGACCTAATGAAATAGTCAAAATGAATATGGATTAGATGGAATAAAACCCTTAAAAAGAGGATTTATCAAAAAAAAAAAAAAAAAAAAAATTTCTTTCAAAAAATAATTTATATTTTAAGCAAATGCCCCTATTTGTTTATTAAAAAAAAAAAACCCCTATACAAACTCCACCCATCCCACACCGTGTTCACCACCGCAGCCCACCATCTTTCCACTAACACCGCCGCCCTTACTGCGCCAGTGTCCTCCTCCTCCTTCGACGCTGGCCCTCGTCGCCCTAAGATGGAAGTCGACAAAATCGATGCCGTCGCCCCGCCATCGAAATCGTTCATAGAGTTTGAATCTCCGGCAACGGCATCCTTTTCCTCCTCTTTCAGTTCAATCCTACTATTCACTGCTTCAAATTTTCATTTTTTGATGATTTAATTCATAAGATTCACTACACACATAATGCATTTATTTGAATATGAACTTTAATTTGAGTCCCTGAGCAAGTTTTGCTTCTATTCAACCCTAACCTAATTCCTTATCAATATGAACTACTGTTAATTCCTGAAATCTGAATTTGGCACACTATGTTGTCAATTTAAATTTCTTGAAATTTCCATATACGTCTTTCAAAAAGAAAGCAAAACACCTTCTTCTTCTTTTTTTTTTTTTTTTAATTTTTTTTATTTATTTTGGGCCTATATTGATTCCTTGGTATTGGGTCTAATTGATTCTTACATTTGTGTCAAAGCTAGATTTCTGAAACATAGCTGCCTCTTGGTTTGCTGCTTCTGTTGTTAAGCCCTGCCTCTGAATATTAACCAGAGAATTTTCTTTGAAGAGGTTTGATGGTTCTTTATGTTTCTTTCTCATGGTGTCCGTCGATTTCTCAGAAACTACAAGCCCCTTTTTGCTTCCCATATTGATCAGCATTTTGTCTATTGGAAGAAAAGTTCCATCAAATGGGTACATTCCCTTCAACAATTCAAACAAAAAAGACCCTTTCGTCAAATTAACAAACACATGAAAAAGCCTCTCAAACCTATCGAGAAAAGAGATTTGGACCAAAAAGTTTATTCAAGGGATACCATTAGAAACATATCAAACATATTAAGGTATTCAACTTGGGATTCTGCCCAACAACAGCTAGAGAAGCTCACTATAAGATGGGATTCTTATACGGTCAATCAAGTTCTCAAAACCCATCCGCCAATGGAAAAGGCCTGGCTGTTTTTCAATTGGGCTTCTCGGCTAAAAGGTTTTAAACATGACCAGTTTACTTGCACAACCATGCTGGATATTTTCGGAGAAGCTAGGAGGATATCATCAATGAGGTATGTTTTTGAGCAGATGCAAGAGAAAGGGATCAAGGTTGATGTGGTTACTTATACGTCACTTCTGCATTGGTTTTCCAATGATGGGGACGTAGATGGTGCAGTGAGGATTTGGGAGGAGATGAAAACTAGGTGTTGTGATCCAACAGTTGTGTCTTTTACTGCTTACATGAAGGTTCTATTTGATCACAACAGAGTGAAGGAGGCTACCAAGGTCTACAAGGAGATGCTGCAATCTGGTTGTTCTCCGAATTGTTACACGTACACAGTTCTAATGGAGCATCTTGCTGGTTCTGGTGAGAGCGAGCTTATTCTTTTTTTTTCTCCACACCCCCACATAATATATATATCATTCTTTGTTCTATAACTTTGGTGCTTGTGTGATTGTTGAATGCTTGTGCACTATGTTTGTTAGTTGCATTACTTGTATGTGTCCAGAAAGATTACTATTATCAAGACAAAGTCTGTCCATTTTCTCTTGGCACCTTGTATTCCTCAACAATGGTGTGTAAGTCTGTTTGTTAATCTACTTTTGTAGATCCCTTCACTGGAACAGCCTTGTCCTTTTGTCATCTTGAGGTACATTTGACCCTTGAATCTGAATTTTGTCGAAAGATGCAGTGTAGTTGCTATACAAATGATTTAGAAAAAAAAGGAAAAAAGAAAAGAGCCTGCGACCATCAACATCAATGCTTTTGAAGTACTTCAATATGACTTACCAAACAATCATTCTTCTTCTATATATTATTTACCTTCTATTCCTTACGCAGATCATATCATCGATCTTGTTCAATGGTTTTTCTGATACTTATCGATCATTTCAGTTTGTATCTTTGGGTTTTAATAGACTCTCTTTAACCAATCCCTAATCCTAATATTGAGGAAATCAATTATCAACCAATTAGGCTCTCTAGAGAAACCATCCTCTAGTTGTGGGAGGAAGATAACAATAGACATAACTGACATAGTTTCTTTTGGCCGCCATTTGTCATTTTGATCCTTTTTATCCTCATATTCCAATTTAGCTGAATAGGATTGTAGTGGCAGCAGAATTTTGTTACTTCCAGCATCACAATTATGTGCTTATTTCAGAATCTTGTAAGGCTGTCTATTAAATGGGTTTTTTGATAGTTGTAGTTCATTTCAGTTTTGCTTTGGATATTACTACGCTCTCTTTAATCAATCCCTAATCCTGATATTGAGGAAATCAATTGTCAACCAATTTAAACTCTCCTGAGAAATCATCCTCTAGTTATGGAGTGATTAAAGGTAACAATAGACATAACCGATATAGGACCTTTTGGTCACCATTTGTCATCTTTATCCTTCTTATCCTCAGATTCCAATTCAAGTGAATAGTATTGTAGTACCGGCAGATGTTTGTTACTTCCAGTATCACAATTATATACTTCTTGTTTCAGGATCTTGTAAGCCTCTCTATTCCATTGCAATAAAATTGGAAATATTCTCAAAATAGCTTGAGACAAATTTGATTTATCATGAAACTTAAACATTTAACATATTTTAGGAAGAGGAAAGCGGCGTATTTACGCATAGTGGAAGAATTAGCTTTTAGTAAGCTTATGGTTATGGAGAATTACAATTAGCTGGATGAGTTATGTTCTGGATTTAGTTACATGATTTATTGATTCTTTGTTCCTAGGGATTTTCTACTGGCTAGCCAGTCGAGCTCTGCAAATATAACTGAAATATGTACAACTGAAATATGTACAAGTAAAAAGATAGATGATAATATGCATGTTTTGTATAATCTCAATGATTTGATAGGAGAGTTAATATTATGAAAATTTGAGATTGTGTTTGTGTGATTGGCCTATTCCTTGTAAGGGTGAAGCACTTCTCTTTCTTTCTCTCTTCTTCTTCTTATTCTTCTATCCAACAAGGTTATTGTTTACGTCATTGTTCACAGTGCTTAGAACAACCACCCAACTGCCCCTAAACACTCGTGTTTTCATTGCCAAAACCCTACCCTTTTACAAACCCTTAAACTCCTATTCTTTTAAGTATTTCTGCAGTCACAAAATCACATCAAATCTAGCCCTATAAGTCTATTGTTGCTGCTGCCAGTATGCTTAAACCGGGCTCACTACTTGTAGGAAAGTAATCCCTACTCGTCCTACACCAGTTTGGTATTAGAGCTTCAAGATCCTACCTTGTTCCTTACCAATTTTTTGATGAAGTTGCTTTCTTTATTACAATGTTGACAAGCTTTGAATTAAATTGGAAATTTGAAACCTGGTCAACAAGTTATAGAGCTACTAACAAAGATGCTGCGATGTTAAAGGAGGATTTTGCGATAATTAAGGAGGATGTTGCAACAATGAAGAGTGATGTGCATACTATCAAGACAACTTTGAATGAATTGAAAGCTTCCATGGAAGGATTGTTGGCTGCTGTTTTACAGAAGACTAATATCCAGGGGCAAAAAGATGATAGTGTTGAAGATTTTGAAGAAACTATGAAAGAACAAGATGAATATGCTGCTAATATTGAAGATATTGAAGAAAGGAAGGCGAAAAATAACTTGCTTACCAAAGAAAGCATGAAAGATCATCATGATCAATGTTCTAATGCCAAGGAAGTCAAAGAGAATGATGAGAATGCAACTGAACTTTCTACTCTTCATAAGAAAAATGAAGTTCATATTGAGTTTATTATTCCTGACAAATTCGATATGGTCAATGGAGTGATAACAACATTGAACTTTTTGATTTTCTCATCGTTCGTTCCAAACAATCAAGTTGAATGGTTGCAAGTGCAAGATTCCATAATCCTTATACTTCAACATTATAAAACTCGAGGTCGAGTTTTTTCGAATGGAGGGGAGAATGATAAAGATCATGGAAAGAAGAAAAAGAGCAAATCTAGAATTTCACATGAAGCACATTTAGAGTATCAAGAATTAAAGATTTAGAATAATTTTGAGTCTTCATGTCATTATAGTAGGTTTTAGTAATTAAGGGTATAATGGTAATTCCAATAATTATTGGACATGGGTTGTAGGGGTCACCCATGGGTTTTATTTTGAGTCAAGTTATTAAATGGATTATTATATATGATTTTTATTATGTCTAAAATAATCTTAGTGGTCAAAAGTTCAAGTTTCCTATTTTGATATTAAAGTAGAATTAGAAGTCATTAAAGTTTCCTATTATGATTGAAGTAGAATTGAAAGTCATAGTTGGTCTAGAATATTAGTAGTTGCTAAATATTTTTAGTTTCTAAATTTGAGAATAGTCCTTATAGAATTTAGGAAAGTCTTTAGCTTATAAATGTATCTGTAATCTCAATGATTTGATAGCAGAGTTAATATTATGAAAATTTGAGATTGTGTTTGTGTGATTGGCCTATCCCTTGTGAGGATGAAGCACTTCTCTTTCTTTCTCTCTTCTTCTTTTTCTTCTTCTTCTATCTAGCAGGTTATTGTTCATGTCATTGTTCACAGTGCTTAGAACAACCACCCAACTGCCTCTAAGCACTTGTGTTTTCATTCCCAAAACCCTACCCTTTTACAAACCCTTAAACTCCTATTCTTTTAAATATTTCTGCAGTCACAAAATCCCACCAAATCTAGCCCTAGAAGTCTATTGTTGCTGCTGCCAGTATACTTAAACCGGGCTCACTACTTGTAGGAAAGTAATCCCTACTCGTCCTACATCAGTAGGCTATTTTAGTAGGCTAAAATAGTTGTGTTTAGGAAGTTGGTTGAATTTTTTTGTAATTGAATGTGATGTTTGTAAGAGAAAAAGTAAAATGATTATGGGTTTGATGTGACATTTTGATGGTGTTTGGGATGAATTGTAGTTGGGTTTTTTCTCATTTTTTTTACTAAAAGACAAAAATTTTGCAAAACAAAAAAAAATATATCCAAACAAAATATCACATCCAACCCCATAATCATTTCACTTTTTCTCTCACAAACATCACATCTAACCACAAAAAAATTCAACTATCTTCCCAAACACAAAAAAAAATTTCTTCAATAATATCCTACATCTAAAAAAATTTACATAAAAACCCACTTTCCAAACTCCATCTTTGTCTTATTGACTATTTTAACCTATTTTGTCTTTTAGTGCTATTTTAGCCCAAAAAGCCCAAAATGTCTCTCCTCAAAGTCTCTGCATTTGTCAATGTTAAGCTATATATCTCATGTTACGCTGCTCTTATTTAGATGTTCCCATTCTACCTGTGTCTCTCTCAACAAAAAGAAATAATGGTAATTTTCATTCATCTATGATGCTATCTGCACTGCACCGGTGTTGTTGGATTTTTGAAGTTGCAACTTGTATCAGAAAAATGATCATCTCCTTTGCAATGATTTTCAGGCAAATACAAAGAAGTTCTTGAGATTTTTAACAAAATGCAAGAAGCTGGGGTTCAGCCTGATAAAGCCACATGTAATATTTTGGTTGAGAAATGTTGCAAAACAAGGGAGACATGGGCAATGACCCATATTCTTCAGTATATGAAAGAAAACCGCTTCGTCCTTCGTTACCCCGTTTATCTGGAAGCTCTTGAAACTTTAAAAGTTGCCAGTGAGAGTGATGTTCTCCTCAGGCAAGTTAATCCACATTTTTCTATCGAACGTGCCAACAAGGATGAGATAGATGATTGTAATGCAATTAGTACCGATATTGAATCTGTTATTGATGGAAGACTTGTATTACATTTCTTGAGAAGGAAAAATTTTGTTGCTGTTGACTACTTGCTTTCCTACATGATGGATAAGAATACTCGATTGGACTCTAGGATAATCTCAACTGTCATTGAGGTCAACAGTGCTCATTGCAGACCAACTGGTGCTTTATTGGCCTTTGAATATGGTGTGAAAATGGGGCTAAGGATTGAGAGAACTGCATATCTTGCCTTGATCGGAGTCTTCATCAGAACAAATTCATATCCCAAAGTTATGCACATTGTTGAGGAAATGATTCGGGCTGAAATTTCTCTTGGAACGTATCTGGGTGCACTCTTAATTTATAGGCTTGGTTGTGTTAGAAAACCTGGCTCTTCTGCAAAGATATTTGATTCATTGCCCGATGAGCAGAAGAACACGGCCACTTATACTGCTTTAATCGCTGCCTACTTCTCATCAGGGAATACCGATAAAGGACTTAAAATGTTCACGGAAATGAAAAGGAAAGGGGTTCGTGCTGCACTGGGTACATACAATGTGCTATTATCGGGTCTTGAAAAAGGTGGCAGAGTTCACGAAGTGGAATGTTTCAGAAGGGAAAAAAAGAACCTGCAAGGTGATGGCCGTTTTGAAGACACAGTTCCATTGGAGGAAATGATTTGTAATCGCTTATTTGCAGGGGATGCAGTATCTTGACATATAAGATTGGACCGTAGTTTCAGAAAAGAGTTTTTGGTCACTAGATGTAGCAGAATGTGAGGAGGGCTATCAATCAAAACCGACTGTACTGTTTGTTTCATGTATTTTCTCTCCGAGTTTCATCTGATTGGAAATTTTAGAGTTCTGGGCATTATTCATTTCTAAATTATTCAATTTTTGTATATCCTTGTTCTGGGCAATATCTCATTCACAATCATCATAAATTCCTTGGAGTTCAGGCAAAATGATGCAAATTGGAGGAGCACAAATTAATAGTTCCGACAAGCTCTTGGTATATCTGAATTTTGACACTGCTGAAGATAGCATGCAATTGTTGTGTGTGTTTTTGTGCTGCTTATGTTATGTATGTCCCTTATGGTTGAAGTTGACGTTATTAGGCAAAAAATTGAAGTACTGCATGTTCTTTTGTTGGTGAATTGATCTCCTTTCATTTTATTTTGTCAGGTTTTCGGGTACATGCTTGTCTTTGTTTGGTCTAATCTTTGTCCAGGGCATCTATTTTGTTATAGGAAAATGAGTGGGAGCACTAATTAGTGTTACCACTAATGATGTGGTAGTAGGTCCGACCATAAATGATTTGATGTTTTGGCCTTGGTGTTGTATTTTTTTTCTTTTTTTATTGAGTGTCATATCATTAGTGGTCTTTTTAGAGCTTCAAAATTAGTGGTCTGTATCATTGTTGACTGAGACCTAAATATTATATAAATATGTTAATAAACAACCATGTTTCACAACTAGGGGAAAAACGAAAACCTTGTTTGGTTGTGTGCTGGTTTTCTTCAGTTTTGTTTTTTATTTTCATTTTTCTTGTTTTTAGAGAAGAAAAAGAAAATTGGAAACACTCATTATTTTGATGTTTGTGCCAGAACAATTTCGAAATTTTCATTTTTTGATTTTTTTTTTTGGTGTGGTTTTCCTACAGCATGGTTACATGGGTTGTTTTCAAAATAAATTCTTTAAAAAAAATTCGGAAATTGTTTGCTTGGAACTAGAAGAACAAAATTGAAAAAATTTTTGCAAAAAAAGAAGAAGATAAATTTCATTGATATCTCCTAAGATTTAGAAAAAATACACAATTTCGATATAATTACATAGGCTTTCTTAAAGCTTTTATTCGCATGATACTGAACCTCCTTTTTAGGGTGGGCGCGGGTCGGTTGCGGCCACGAAATCTCCAATCCGCCATCCGTCCGCCAGATTGGCGGATTGAAGAAAATCAATCCGTATCCGTCCGCCAATCCGGCGGATGTGGATTGAGCGGATTGGCGGTTTGGCGGATGGAGGCGGATGGATGTGAATCGGTTTGGCAGTTTAAAATTTTATAAATTTTTAACATAATTCAACTTGTGCACTTCCTTAAAAAAAAAAGAAAAAAAAAAGTATTACAGTCAATGACTTAAAAAAGTATTACAATCACTGTATGCTTTATCCAAAGAAAGAAAGTTTGAAACTTTAGAATATCACGATCACTGCATGCTTCATTTCTTTATTTACCATCGTATTTTCACACCATTTAAATTGATTTCAGTCTTTTTAGACTTCTTAATAGAAAGCTAAGTGATATTATATCAAAATTATAAGACTTTTTATATATTTTTTTAAAATTCAGGAACTTATTTTTCAACCTTCTCTTAAATAGTCGTTACTATACTTCTTATTCAACTAATCTAATACTCTTTTCTAATGAAATTTCTTCAACTTTTCTTTTGTTTTTCTTTGTTATGAAGTTTTTTTAAGAATAGAAGGCTCCGTTTGGCGAGAGCTTTTTTGGCTATTTTAACCACAAAAGATAAAATAGATTATTTTAACTACAACAAACAAAACATCACATCTAACCTATAATCATTGCACTCTTCTCTCACAAAAAAGTCCAAAAAGTTAAAAAAATTAAAAAATTAAAAAGTTAAAAAATCATTCTCAAACTAAACTTTTTAACCTACACTAAAATAATCAAAAAAGTTAAAAAGTAAAAAGTCAACTCACTCTCCAAACGGAGGCAAAACAAACAAACAAGTCACTACCAAAGTTGTGCAATGGTCAAGTGGGGACTGGGATGGAGACAACAACTTGCTTCAATTTTCTCGTGATTTTTAGATCAATGTCTCTATTTGCCTTTTTTTTTCTTTTTTTCTTTTTATATATTAAGAACCGTCCAAATTAAAATATCTTCTTCACCTTTTTAGTTGTGTAGGGCCTTTTAGTGTGGTATGGTCCTTGGCAGTACTCCTCTTACCAATATATTTCCTGTTGGTTAAAAGGATATATATAAATGTCTACCTAATTTTAATTTTTTTTTACCGTAAGGTCTCGTTTGTCAATTATATATTTTAATTAAAATGTTAAAAATTTATTATAAATTATTACGTCACTTTCTCTACTTTTCTACATATCTTTTTGTAAAAAGTTAAAAAATTATTAAAATAATATATTCTCAAATGAGACCTAGGTTAACCATTATTGATATGCTTTAATAACAGTTTCGTTTTGTACCTCAAATTTCTAAAGGCTAGAATGGCCTGAAATTCCAAAACCACGTCGTTTTGGCTTTCTTTTTTTTTTTTTTTTTTTTTTTTTTTTTTGTAGTAACTCACAGAGGAGGAAGAAGAAAAAGAAAAAGAAAAAAGAAGAAAGAAGAGAGGGGAGGAGAGAGAGAAATCAACCAAAAATCTAAAAATTCAAAAACGATGTATCATCATCAACAACGTATCATCATCTCTGTGTGAGAGAGAGAGGCATCAACAACATATCATCATCAACAATCCAAGAGGCATCAAAAATAAAAAAATAAAAAAATTTTGGATTCAAACCCAGATTTGTACACATCATCATCAGAATTTGATTCAAACCCAGATTTTGATTTTGATTTTGATTCAAACCCAGATGTGTACATATCATCATCATCAAATTTGTACACATCATCATCAAAATAAAAAAAAAAAATTGGATTCAAACTCAGATTTTGATTTTGATTTTTGATCTTCTGTACGCATCATCATCAGAGAGATTCAAACCCAAAAATAAAAAATCAAAATCAACACATCATCATCATCAACACAGATTTGTACCCGTTGGTGATAACAGCTCCAGTGTGGCATCGGAGATCTATACACAGATCTCTTCCCCCTCCCTCTTCTCTCTTCCCCTCTCTCTCTTTCTCTTTCTCCTCCTCCGTCTTCTCTCTCTTCCTCCATCTGTCAATGATATAGGAGGGAAAAAAAGAAAAAAACAAATAAATAAATAAAAAATACCCAAAACGAGCCACTCGGCCCAACTATTTCTCGAGTTACCAAGGATTATTGCTTTAATAATAGAGGGTGACATTGACAAATTGCAATATTGTTCATTCTTTTTTGAAATGCTTGGATGTCATATGAGCATTGGATCTGCGATTAATTAGCCAAAATTCTTATATTTCATTTTAAGTGTTTAGAATTTGATTATTTAATTGCACATGTTATTTTGTTTCGTATTCTCTATTCACATTTAATATTCAACAAAATAATTAAACTAAAAAGAATGTGTCTCATTGCAACTTTGGTGAGAACATTCTCTCCCTTTCAATAATTTTATTTGACTTAATGTCAAAAATAAAATCCTTTAGCTTTAGGTTGTATATGAATTGAGGAAAAAGAAATTTCAAAAAAAAAAAGTTAATCACACCAAAAAAAAAAAAAAAATCCAAAACCAAAATGTCTTAATAAATCAAATATTCAAACACAATATTTAGTTCCTCATTAAAGTGCCTATTTCACCTCATCTAGCTTTTATTTGAATTATCCAATGTTCCGGTGCCATTTTTTGACTTTTTCACTGGTTGGTTTCATCTCCTACCCAAACATCTTTTCTTGTAAGCAAATTGAAATTGATTTTTTTTGTTGTCAATTAGCAAATTATTATTTGTAAATATCATGAAATTTACATTAAACTAACAATATATTATTATAAACAATTTTTAAACTCACGAATTTCATGAATCACCAAAAAAACACTACAAACAAATAGAGAACAAAGATTTAAAAAAAAAAAAAAATTCAATTAGTGTGAGTTAAAATTCTAACTACCTAGTGAGAAACCGGGACCTCTAGGCCAACACCTAACTAGTGAGATACATTAGGACTCTAGACCAACGTCTAACCAGTTGATCTCATGAATTACACAATTTCTCTCTCTTCCTATTAAGGGAATATGAAAGAGTGATAAAAGGAGGAGGGCTGTTAAAAGGAAATGGGAGGGGACTGCAATAGGGCTCGAGCTGGCAAGAAAGGGTGGGTAGTTGTAACTGGTGGTGGCGGTGGATCACCATGGCAGAGTTAAGAAACTAAAAGGACGAGGGCTGTTATAAAAATATTTCATATAAATTTTTACGATTGATTTCAAGAAAGATAAAAAAATATATATTATTTATAACTAGTGTATCATAGATAATAAGTATATTTTATTCATATTTCACCTACCTTTTTCATTTTCCTTTTCAAATCTCTCTTCAAATCCTCTAACCAAACACAAGGGCTCGAGCTGGCAAGAAAGGGTGGGTAGTTGTAACTGGTGGTGGCGGTGGATCACCATGGCAGAGTTAAGAAACTAAAAGGACGAGGGCTGTTATAAAAATATTTCATATAAATTTTTACGATTGATTTCAAGAAAGATAAAAAAATATATATTATTTATAACTAGTGTATCATAGATAATAAGTATATTTTATTCATATTCACCTACCTTTTTCATTTTCCTTTTCAAATCTCTCTTCAAATCCTCTAATCAAACACAACATAAAAGTCAAAATTTAACTTTTAACCTCATTCCCAAATTAGAACTCAATTCGAAACCAAGGTTTCAAATTTTTTTTATCAACATGGTTTGAACTTTGAACATCAATTCGTGAGATTTAGGTCTATAATATCATGAAAATGGATTGTACATGAATAATCTACAAAGTTCAAATTTTAATGGCTGAAAGCCAATGAATTTGATTAGCTTTCAAAGAATATACTATACTTACTCATATCAAATTGCTAGTATTATTCTTAAAATAAAATACATAGAACTAATTGATTTATTTATTTATTTATTATATGTACCCCTTTTTCTTTTTCTTTTTTTTCCTTTTTTTTGTTGAAAATTTGGTTGAAACTAAACACCATCAAGTCTGCTGAAGCTGAAATAAATAAACTAAACAATAAAAAACAAAAATTTCTCCAGAGATTGAATTAGCAAAGAATTTGACTATGAATTCAGTAATCAATAGGCAAATTTTTCAGAAAAAATACCATGAACTAACACTAATTTTCTTTCTGAAAACAAGAAATCAAAAGAAAAAACACTAAGAATTATTGTATATAACCTGTCTATCTCCTAACAAATCATATTTGTATAACATATATATATACTGATAAAATTCGTCTCTATGTTGTTGCCC